TTAGACACTTGTTTTCATTAATTTCTGCTTATTGTTTTCTTCCTCCTATTTGGAGAGGGGTTTTTTTTTTTGGCATTTTTTTCTATCTTCTTGAGATAGATAATTGAATCATTTACTTTTTTCTCTTTTTTTCTAATACATGCTCTTAAGGCTGTAATTTTCCTTCTAGCCTAACTTTGCTTTATGCCACAAGTTTTGATAAGTCATGTTTTCATCATCATTCAGTTCAACAAAGAGAAAATCTTAAAATTAGAAGAAAAAGGCACATTAGCTTCAGAGTAATTCTACATATATTTTAAACCCACAAGATAGTATTATTTTTCCTTTTTACACTCACTATTTTATTTAGCTTTACCCACATAATTACCCTTTTCATTCTTCTTCTTTCCTGTATTTCTGTGCTTTAGTACCAGATCATTCTGCTTGAAGAATCTCTTGAGTATTTTTAAAAATATTTATTTATTTGAGAGAGGGAGGGAGAGAGAGAGAGAGAGCATGGGCAGAGGGAGAGGGAAAGAGGAAGCAGACTCCCCGCTGAGCAACCCGACATGGGGCTCAGTCCCAGGACCCTGAGATCACAGCCCAAGCCAAAACCAAGGGTCAGATGCTTAACCAACTGAGCCACCCAGGTGCCCCAGTATTTATTCTGATGCAACTTTGCTGATGACAGATTTCCTCAGTTTTCATTTTTCTGAAATTATTTTTTTATTTTGCCTTCGATGTTGAAGGATATTTTTGCTGGGTATGAAATTCTAGGTTGATGATTGCTTTCTTAAAGCACTTTTAAAGTGTCATCATGTTATGTCATGACTTGCATCATTCCTGTTTCCGATGTCTCTCTTGTTTTGTCATAGTCTTGCCTCTTGATGTGTCTTGTAATTTTTTACTGAATGCTACACATTTTAATGGAAAATTGTAGAAGTTCTTAATGGTGTTATCTTCCCCCAAATAGGATTTACTTTTATTTTTGGCAGTCTGTTAGATTAGAGAAGATTGCCTACGTCCAATCATGAATTTGAGCTGATTTGAAATAGGCTTCAGTCTTGTAGAAGCTGATCTCTTGTTCACCTGCAGTGTAAGACTTCCCAGGTCCTCTGTTTGAAAGATTGGGCTGTTTATCAGACCTGCCCTTCTTGGTGAGGCATGAACACTGATTATTGACTTTGTAGCATCATGAGTCTGCTGTAAGAGCCTCATAGCATTTTTCTCAGCTTCTCAGACCCACACTCTGTATGAACTGGCACATGCTTCAAGTGGAAAAGTTGTGCAACATGTTGGGCTTATTTGTGTCAATGCCTTTCCTTTATCTTCAGATCTTGACCTCTAAAATCTTGGTTTCTTTGATTCCTCTACAATGTGTTCAAACAGATATTTTTCATTTTATAAAGCTGTTCTAGCTATGTTCACAGGAAGGTTAGTCTAATACAAGCTAGTTCATCATAGCCAGAAATGGAAGTCTAAAATCTTTTTAATTTCATTTAATGATTTGTTTTATTTTTTCATCAACATGAATCTGTTTTAATTGTTGTAGCTAACAGTAAGCATAAATATCTGGTAGGTCCCACTCATCTATCTTTACATTTAAAAGGAATTTTCAGGGGTGCCTGTGTGGCTCAGTCAGTTAAGCGTCTGACTCTTGATTTTGGCTCAGGTCATGATCTCAGGGTTTTGAGATCAAGCCCTGTGTCAGGCTCTGCACGGGGGGCATGGAGCCTCTTAAGATTCTCTCGCTCTCTCTCTTTCTCTCTCTCTCCCCACTCCCTCCCTCTCTCCTTCTCTAAACAAACAAACAAAAAGAACAAAAACCTTAAAAGGATTTTTCAGGCTCCTTTCAAATGCTTTTTATTATTCTAACCCCAGATTCATATGTCATTTTTCTAAAGAGAACTCATTGCATTGAATTCATCTATTAATTTAGAGAGCATTGACATTTTTATGACATTGTCTCCCTACCTAAAAACATGATATATTATTTTATTTATGAGTCTTCTTTTATGTTTATTGATAGTTTGAAGGGTTTCTTTATATAGCACTAGCACATAACTTGTTAAGTTTATTACCCAATAGTTTACCATTTTGTTGCTACATAAACAGCATTATATTTTCCAACTGTATTATAGCTGTAGGTTTTTATATGTTTTTATATGTTATTATGTGTCCACCCATTTATTTCAATGCCAAAAGGTTTCAAGTCTTGAGGTGACACACTTCCTTCTGATGCTGAGCCTCTAATGTACTTGACACTTAAATATTCAATACACATTTGCTAATGTTATATTTATTATCTGTGTCTACAGAAACACCACTGTGCCCACCATAAAGACACCTTTTACATGACCATTCAGAGTACTTTAGCTCCTTGAATGTGAAGAACCTAAAATCTCTCCAATCCAAATCCCTTAGATGATAGGGAGGTAAGAGAGGGTAGGAATTTGGCAGAGATAGAAATGAAGGCAATTCTGCAGGCAGCAGTTGCCATGCTAAGAGGGAAATTGGAGAACTGGATGGAGATGAGAAAGTCTGGGACATTTTGCCCCTTTTCAGGGACAGATGCACCCTATTCATTCTTCCTTGTTCACTGCTCTTTGGGTGTCAGGCGGTGGCACTTTCTGACTGCAGCATTGTACAGAGATGGCCTGAGGTGGCCCAGCCTTATTTGATTACGCTTGTATAAATCCTCACAACAATTCTTCTGAAGCTTTCCCTGTTTTACAGATGAAGATACTGAGGTTCAGAGTGGTCATGTGACTTGCCCAGGATGTGACATGGGAGAACTGGCATTCCAGCTCGGATTTGCCTGGTCCCAAAGCCCATGTGCCATTCACTCCCCAACATAGCTGTAAAGTCTAGGATTAAACTATGAACCTCAGGCCACTTGGGATTTATGTCATACTTAGGCAGTGAGAAAGAGATGCTAATTAAGTGAATTATAGTTATTTGGTAACTTCTGCCTTAGAACAAATTACCTCAGAACGCAATGGTATAAAACAACAATACCAGGGGTGCCTGGGTGGCTCCGTCGGTTAAGCGTCCCACTCTTGATCTCAGCTCAGATCTTGGTCTCAGGGTCGTTAGTTCAGGCCCCTGAAAAACAAAACAAAACAAAACAAAAAACTACCATATTCTGCTCCTGATTTTGTTGGGCAGGAATCTGGGAAGTGCTCAGCTGGGCTGTTCTTGTTTGGAATTTGTCCGGCAGATGTAGTCAGACCATTGGCTGGGGCTGCTGTGATCAGAAAGTTCCACCAGGCTGGGTGTGTCCAGGGTGGCCCAGTCCCATGGCTGGGAGCTCAGCTGAGGCTGCCGACCAGAACACCTACTTGTAGTCTCCAAAGCAATTGTTCTCCACCAGGGGTGATTTTGCCACCCAGGGGCATTTGTGTCTATTCGCAGCAGGGTGCATGCACTAGCATCTGGTGGATGGAGGCCAGGGATGCTGCTGACCATCCTGCCGTGCACATCCCAGCTCCCCACCACAAGGATGTGTCCAGCCCAAAACGTCAATAGGGCCAAGGTTGAGAAACCCTGCTCAAAAGCTTGGTGATCTCAGGCGAGTCGGACTTCTTGCCTGGGCACTGGCTTCCCCCTGCAGGGGCTCCCCAGAGAACCAGGCAGAAACTACATCTCCTCCTGTGACGCAGCCTCAGAAGTCACATGGCATCACTTCCATGGACTCTGTTGGTCAAAGTCATCACAAACCTGCCTTGACTCAAGGGGAGGAGAGGGGTATGGATCCCACCTCTCAATGGGAGGAGTGTCAAAGAATCTGTGGTCACTTATTAACCACCATAGAATGTACTGGGGAGCAGCACGAGGGGAAGCAGGCAGAGCCACAGGCCCACTGAGGGCTGTCCTCTGGTCACCAGCTCATTCTGCTGGGTGTTGGCCAAGCTGACGCCAAGTCACTTAGACCCGCTTACAGAAGCAGCTGCTGTAACTGGCTTGGAAGCCCTGTCAAGAACCCCCAAACCCCAAACCCTTCATCAAGCACTACAGGGTTTTCTCTGGGTTTATGGGAAACTGAGATCAGGATGTCTGCATTGGATTCTCCTTCCACTTCTTTTCTCCTCCCCAGTTGAACCCTGTCCACCCCACCACACACACTCCCAGTTCTCCAACTGGGCACTCACTCATGCCTGTAAGCTCACCTATCTCTGAGCACCTAAGCACTTCATTATTGGCTTGGGCAGAGAAATGTGCCATTAGTAATTTAATCTCCACAAGACATTTCTCCCTAATTGCTAGTCACAGATGATAATTAGCGACTGTTAATTCCTGATAATTAACAGGCTAATTCTTAGAGGTAATGGCCCCAGGGCGATCATCTTAAAAGGCTCAAAGCTGCCGTGCTTCTGGGCCCCAAGCTCCAAGGGATGGCACTGCCTTTTGGCATCTCTAGCCCAGAAATTAACTGGGGCCCTTCCATTTCTGTTTACAAGGGCAGCAATTGGACAATTGATGACTCTAATCTTTAGTTTTCCTCTCTGGATATATGGGTTTGTTTTTTTTTAAGAAGCTTTGTCGAGCACAGAACACTATAAAGAAAATCAAATACACGTAACCTTAAGACCTGGGAGTATCCACCATCAACATTTTGGTTTATTTCTTCCTAGTCTATGAATTTGTTTCATAGTTGAGGTCCTGGCAAACATGGGGTTTTACCTCCAGCTTTATTCGCTTAATATTATAGAGTAAACATCTTGTCTGGTGGTAGCAACTTATAAAAAAAAAAAAAGGTCTGCCTCCCCCCCTGAGAAGAATCAACTGGGTGCTATAGCCGAGGGAGAGGATTCGTGAGAAGGAGAAACAAGGAAGAGAGGGAAAAGCCAAGATCTGATTATGTGGGAACTGGGAATTCATTCCCGACCAGAGTGTCTTCAGGGGACCGCTGTCCCTGCCCCACCCACTGAAGATATTGGCTGGAAGAATCTGTGTGCAAGCACATAGTCACACAGGAGAAAGGCTGGGAACTAAAATGTGAACGGTGGTGTTGCTTTCAGAGTGGGCAAGTGCATGAATGTTCCTCCTCTGCCTTACGATTTTCTGTACAGCACAGAGGAAAAAGCACTGGATCAGCATTCAGAAGTTTTCCAGTTCACACTCTTGTCCCTCCACAGAACTGGCCGTACGATCTCAGGTAAATCTCTCCTCTGGACCCTGGTTTTCTTAAATGTGCTTTGAGGGAAACGTTAGTCTTCCTGCCCTGAAAGGTGGTTTTGGGAATCACAGAAATGCTGGGTTAGAGTTTGCCTCTCAATATGAGAGGATATGCTGGCTGACTCCCCCAAAGGAAACCCAGGAGGGTCAGGAGACCACCTTTATGTAGCACTAGGCTATTTCCAAAGACAATCTTCCGAAATACTGTGTCCCATGCATTTCTAGATTCCCCAGTGACCTGCTCTGGATGTGCCTCTTCACCCCAAGTTTCTTGAACCTGTTTATTCCTTCAGCAGGGAGATGATGTAGCCATAGCATAAACTTGGGAATTAGACCTAAATTCAGATCAATCACAGGTCACGGGTGTCAGCCACCTGTGACGTCCTGTAGGCTGTGGAACATGTCTGAGCCTCAGTTTCCCCATCCATGAAATGGGGGCATATACAACCTACTACTTACGGGGTTGTTGTCAGGTCCCAATGAGGTACTCTACACAAAGGGCTTTTCCGTACTCAGCTCATAATATTTATTTGTACGTAAATACGATTTCAGAACAGAAGCACAAATACAACTATGTAATGGGTAAGAGGGACCATTTCTCACTCTGCGTGGCATCCCCTGGATTTGTTACGCACTCTGGAAGGGGACTTTTCCCTTTGCCCAAGCTCACCCCAGGCTTCGCGGGCAGCTCCTGCAGTGTGGTTGGTGGGTCCACTTCAGCCTCTTCCTTTCTCTCCTGCATGTATAGCTTCAGATCCAATCTCCTCTCCCCCCTCACCTCCCGAGATCTCTCAGATCTGAGTCTTTTTTTGTCCCTCTGCCAAGCTTACTGTTAAAATTGGCCGTTCAGCCCTGATCTGTGCGCCCTGCAAGGCAGGTGGGGTGGGGGGGCTGGTTACCCCATTGCTGTGTGATGCTAATTCCTTACAAAACACGCTGCATCCATGCTGCGTTTAATCCCCCAGCAAGTTTGCGGAGTGGCCTGGTGAGAGCTTGGTATTCTTCACGCGGGGAGGGGGTGGGGGGGTGGCAGCAGCATTCGCAAAGTGGGTACCACGGAAACAGACACCATTTTGTGGACACAGAAGTTCGGAAAACACCGCAATGAGCGAAACTGCACACGCTTTTCAGGCCTGTAACATATTAATGTGCAACATGATTCTTCGAGACCTAGATGCAGTGCTTCCCATGCTTTTTTCCCATCAGAGTCCTTTTTACTAGAATAGTGCTCCATGGAACCTGCTTTGGAAAACACTCGTAAAGGTGGCTCGGGAATGGGGCAGGGTGAAGTTCAAAGGCAGGCACCACCACTTGCTAGCTGAGTGTTCTCGGGCAAGTTTCTTAACCTCTCTGATCCTCAGTTTGTTCACCTATAAAGTGGGGACGGTAACAGGGCTATAAGGATTAAAATAGAGAGTCAAGTGCTTAGCAGAATGCCTAACAGTTGAGAACATTCAATATACTTTGGCTTTTATTGTTATTCTCTTCGAGAAAAAAATGGCCCTCCGAAAGGTTACTGTTTCAACACGACACGGCTAGTTAGTGACCGGGTTGTGTCCTGTCGTCCCACCTCTCCCTTCAAGGCTCTTCGCAGCGTACAGAGCTATTGTTCTCATTGGGGATCGAATCCCTTTTTCTCCTCTCCTTCCCTTCTCCCTGCCAACCACCTGTGGGCTTCTAATTCCCTTCCCTCTGGCAGATTCAGGGTTTTGCAAGCCTCAGAAGTGAGGGAAAGTACTGCAAACTGCTATAAAAGTCTTAGTTATCATTCCCTCGTCACTACCCATCCCAGCAGTCCAGGCGGCCACTTCCCTGGGGCTCCTGCAGGCAGCCTACCCCACCCCTCTCCCCTCCCCGGGGGCCCCGGGTTTCTGCCCATGATGATGGAGTCACAGAGCAGAGTAGGTGCTTTATTAGATGTGCGTAACCCAGTCGGGAGCCAGGCCGTCCCACCCCTCCTCCCACCCCACTGCATGCAGAACGACTTGGCTTGTTGGTGGGGCTGGCTGGGGATTTTCTTTTTCCCTCCTTTGTCAAAGCCGGTACGGGAAGGATGGTGCTCTGCGGCCTGGTGGACAGGAGGCCTTTGCCCCCAAGCTCTCACGCACACCCCCAGGAAGCCAGCATGGGGCTCGCTCCGTAGCTGAGTCAACTCTGCTGCGGTTAGCTGATAGGGCAGGGCTGATGCTATGGAACTGGGGTCAGTTCATCCCCCCTTGTTGCACAGAGCACCCACTGTTCCTCCCCTTCTCCCACAGCAAGCTCAGATTTCACAGACGAATCAAGCCTCCTGACCTGAGCGTGGCTTCTGTCCCTTCTCCGAGGACTCAGCCGAGTCGGCTGGGATAGGGCCCTGCGGCGGGTGATCCCCACCTCCCCATCACAGGCGCTGGGGCACTTGACTCTTTCCTGACCATTAACATTTCAGAATTCCTGACTTTGTAGGACTGACGGCAAAAGGGCCCGTGAGAGATGCTGACGGCCTGGCAACTTTGCAGGCATATGACTTGCTCTGCCGGCCCCCTCCCCTTCTAGAAATGGCTCTGCCTGCCCCCTACAGCCCCCTAGGTGACCCTCTTCTGGGCTCTCATCATATCCTGGCTTTCCCCATCAGAACACTTACTGCTTTGTAGCGTGGTTTCTTGTTTGCTGGCTCAGAGCCCCTCAGACTTCAGCAGATCCGCAGCTCACCTAGATCTTGTTAAAATACAGATTCTGGTTTAGAAAGTTGGAAGGTCCTGGGATTCTGCCTTTCCAACAAGCTCTGGGGTGAGGCCGATGCTGCTGGTCCATGGATCACACTCTGAGGAGCAAAGATCAATCGTTCTCCACTTGGGCCGCACGTTGGAATCGCTGAGAGCACCTGCAGGATACCCCTGCCCCCGTAGGAGGCCAGCTGCCCCAGAATCCCTCAGAGGGACACCCAGGCTGGAGGGATTTTTAGATGCTCCCCGGATGTTTCTAGATTGCGACCAGTGAGCGGAAGCCCTGAGCTGGGCTGTGGGCTCTGTAGAGGCTGGCCTCTGTCTGCCCTACTGTCGGTCTTTCCCTGCGCGAGCCCACACCTGGCCGTGGCAGGTATCGGTAGGGGGCTCACAGCGCCCCTTGCATAGACTCTCGGCCTTGAGCTGGTTCAGAGCTGGCTCCCGCCAATACCACCTGCTGAGCCCGCAAGGTCAGATGGTTTTAGAGGCCCATTGGGTTTGGACTGTGGTGTGGCTTTTTGACTTGGGCTGACCCAGAACTACAACTCATTAGAGTCCGTGAGGAAGACACCTTCCCAAGAGGCCTTCTCTGCCCCTCTGCCTTTTCTTAAGGCCGTGGCTGCTTCCCCCTCTGCATCCTGCTCAGAGTCCTTCTTAACACAGAGAAGTCCACCCCGCAGAGTTCATGCCTCCATGGGAGATCTCAAGCTGCATTTTAATTGTGTTGGTGGTACCTTTGTTCTTCTAACGGGAACTCTTCGAGGGCAAGGAGAGTGTGCTGTTCATCTTGTCTTCCATGTGGGCACCGTGGGTTGCTGCAGATGAATGAATGAATGGTGGTATCCAGCAAGGGGGGCTCCCAGAGAGGAAAGGGGGACCCTTGTAGTAGCCTGTCCAGAAGGCTGTGAATTCCTCAGGGGGAGAGGAAGCACCCCCATAGTGGCCTGGCATCCAGGAGCTGGCCTGTGGGTCTTTCTGCATCTGGTTAGCCAAGCGGGGTTGACTTGAGTTACCTCCTCCGGGCCCTGCATCTTGGCCTCCTCAGGGGCTTACCCTCTCTCCTGCCTCCAGAGCCCACTTCCTTGGCCGCAGGCCGCCCATCGACCTCTGGGAAGATGAGTGGCTGCGGGAGGAAGGCCCTGACCCTGCTGAGCAGCGTCTTTGCTGTCTGTGGCCTGGGTCTCCTGGGCATCGCAGTCAGCACCGACTACTGGCTCTACCTGGAGGAGGGTGTGGTCCTGCCCCAGAACCAGAGCATGGAAATCAAGATGTCCCTGCACTCGGGCCTGTGGCGTGTCTGCTTCCTCGCAGGTAAGGGCACCCCAGGTTGGGACAGCCCTCTCTCAGAGACAGGAGCAGCCCTTGCCCCGCCCCCCCCCCGGAAAACCTGCCCGATAGCCCCCGTTGGGAAGAGATGCCCCCACTGGGAGGGGGCAGTTCACCAGAGATGGCCCTTGTGAATTCTGGGTGGGGCTCCCTGCAGCAACCAGGGCCCATTCCAAACGTAAGCCCTGAGTCAGAGTGTCCAGGAGCAGGTCCTGTCATCCCTGGGACCTGTGTCCCTCCAACCTGAGAGATAAATGTAGCCACACCTTCCCCACACTTCCCCATACTCTGCCTCCCAGGCTGAATGAGGCTGGCCTCCCACGGGTCTGGAACCGCCCTTGTGTGCCTTAGCCCGTGGAATTATTGATCTCAGTGCCTCCCCACAACACTCCAAAGCAGGACTTATTATTTCCACTTTACAAATAAGCAAATGAAGACCCAGGGAGGCAAAGTAAGTCTCCTTGACTCAACATTACAGGTCCACTCGTTTACAGAATGGGAAAGACTTGGCAGTTTCTCTGTTCCAATTCCGTGAAATGGGAAAGAGAAAACCCAGGTGTACGTCCTTCCAAATTTGCAAGATGGTGCAGGCTTTGATCCCACCTATCTGGGCCTCCCTCCAGTTCTCGAGGACTTCTCTGGAACCCTTGAGTTGCTATTCCAAGCACTCTGTCTTTATCCCTTTATCATAGCCCAGAACCAACCTGCACAAGAAGAGCATCTCCATGCTCTGTGAGACTGACTGGTCGCAAGCCTGAGCTGGCTGGAATCCCCACAGGGTGATCACTGAGCCTTTCTAGAAGGGCCCCTGGCACTTTACATGTACACAGGACAGAGGGAGCATGTGGTCCTCCCAGCTTTATAGTAGGGCTTTGGAAAATGAGGGTGGTGATTGGCGCCCAGCAGCATCCAGCATGGAGGACACCTCAAGGCCTGGCCTCCTGGTGACTTTGGAAATGGCATCTGACACTGACCTCACCTCCCACTTTCTGAAACTATGTAGCATCAGTCTCTACTTAAATCTGAAGGAGAATTTGAAGTCACTAGGGTCTGGCTTCCAAAATGATTGAGAAGGCTTTGGGGGTTCTGTTCCGTGACATCCCTGCTGGGGAATCTAAGCCAGCCATGTGCCATCATCAGCTGAGTCTGCCCCAAAGCAACAAGATGGCCACCGGATGTGTCTCTCAACCTCAAGTTTGTAGTGCAGACTTCTTTTCATGTGACTCTTGGTGCCTGGGTCCACATTCACAGTGCTGCTTCTCCAGGAAAGATGTGATGTCAGGAGACACCCCCACCCCTACTGTGGGTCACTAGCCAGGGATGGGACCCCCGAGATTTAGATCCAGCCCAGGCGCAAACACAGTGGGCCAAAGATCCCAGAAGCATTTGGGGATATCATTTGAATGTATGAACTTCACATCCATGTTCAAGAATAACCTGGAAATGCAAATGATTCTTGTCTTCACAGGTGAGGAGCGGGGACGCTGCTTCACCATAGAGTATGTGATGCCCATGAACACTCAGTTGACATCAGAGTCCACAGTCAATGTTCTAAGTAGGTGCCTCAGACTTTCTGACCTGGGTCACTGGCTAGACAGAGCAGAGCAGGGCAGGGGGAAGAGGCAGGGTGACCAGCTTGCTTCTCAAGCACTAATGCCCTTCGAATCAGCTGGTGGGGTTGGCCTCAGCTCACCAGAGCTTTCTCTGCCAATTATTCTTCCAGTGGTGATGACAGCTTGCTGGAGTCTCCCAAGTCTTGTGGCCCAGGCAAGGGAGAGGGCATTCTGCCTCGTGTCTTAGTCTGTGTGGGCTGCCGTAGCAAAATACCACAGACCAGGTAGTTTCTGACCCACAGAAATTTATTTCTCTCAGTCATGGAGGCTGGAAGTCCAAGATCAAGGGGCCGGCAGGATCATGTTGTGGTGAGGGCCCTCTCCTGGCTCATAGCTGGTGCCTTACTGCTGTGTTCTCACACAGAGGAAGGGGCAAGGGAGCTCCGTGGGGTCTCTTTTATAAAGGCATCGATCCCACTCATGAGGGCTCCACCCTACGCATCCAAACCACAGCACTCAGGGAACTGATGCAAACTCTCTGGCGCCCAAGAAGATTAACTTCATGGCCTTTGCCTTACCAGGGTCTATTCTGACCCCAGTGTGGGCTTGCAATACAGTTCTGATACAATCACCCCTTAGCCTTAGGCTAAGGACTCAGTACCCCAACCAGACTTCCCTCATTTCCCACACCAGCTGGAAGTTCAGAAGACCCCCAAGGCCACTGGCATTTTTGACCAGCTGGCTACAAGTCAGAGGTTCCTGTGACTCCCTCAGGTTCAAAACATTGCTAGAGCAAGTCCTAGAACTCAGGAAAGCACTATACTTCCTATCACAGTTTTATTATAAAGGGTTCAGATCAAGACCAGCCAGATGAGGAGGCACATAGGGCCAGATCTGGGAGGGCATTGAATGCCGAGCCTCCATGTCTTCTCCCCGTGGAATCAGGATGCCTCACCATCCTGACACATGGATGTGTTCACTAACCAGGAAACCCAACCAGGCTTTGGTGCCGAGTATTTATTGGGTTTCATTATGGAGGTGTGTTTGAGTGAGCTGTCCACCACGTGACTGAACACAGTCTCCAGACCCCTCCCCCCTTCCCAGAGTCAGGCCTGGATCACGTGGCTCAAAACCCCAACCATCTAATCACATGGTTGGTCTTTCCAGCCCTGTCCTGAGTCAGCTGATTGGAAGAATCTCAGGGGTAGTCGAGGGGCCCACCATGAATATCAAGGACACTCTTCTCACTTGGGAAATTCCAGGGATTTGGAGGTTCTTGCTTGGGAACCAAGGGCAAAGACAAGATACATTCATTAGGCAGACCATCCCCCAAGTAATTATAAGTTGAAGACAACAGAGGCCAGGAACTGTCTACAGCACCCCTCAGAGATAGATGCCTGTGTCCCTGGAGAGGGTGCATGACCCCAGGAGAGGAAGTGAGGTGAGTGACAAGGCCCTTCCATGGCTGCCATACTGGCTGCCCAGGAGGGAGCAGTTTGTGCTGGAAGAAAAGACAGAAGCATGTTGGCAGCGTCGGCCCTCCCAACCCTGCCTCAGAGACGCAAGCCCTGCCAGCACTGGGAGATCCCTGGGCCGCCCAAGGAGGGGATGGAGCCCAGAGAGCTCATGCCGGCCAGGGGGCTTGGGGCACCAGTTGGCAGACACTGCCAGGAACACCTGGGAAGGGAGGTAAGTAGGTGAGGCCACGGGAGGCTGACGGTGTCCTCTTGTCCCCTCAATTAGAAATGATTCGCTCAGCCACACCGTTCCCCCTGGTCAGCCTCTTCTTCATGTTCATTGGGTTTATCCTGAGCAACATCGGACACATCCGTCCCCACAGGACAATACTGGCCTTTGTCTCTGGCATCTTTTTTATTCTCTCAGGTAAGTTGTACTGTTTTCTTTCACACACTCTCGACTCTCGACATTTGACTCCTCCACGGCTCTGCTCTGGGAAGTGTGGTCACAGCTGTGGGTCAGCCCCTGGCATGGGAGCAGCTGAGTCTGTGCCCCAGGTAGAACCGAGTTGGAGTGAGGGAGGCCTCTGATGACCTCGAGCCCATCCATGACCCCCAGAGGAGGAAAGACCTGATAGGCTCACCTGGGGTAGAGCTGGGATTAGAACCCGGGGCTCTCTCCTCCCTCCCCATTGTCACCACCTCTGACTTCTTGATTCTACCAATAATGAGCATTCTTATTTTTGAAGGGGCTATTTCTTCCTGATTTTGCATGAAAGGTAAGTACAATCTACCTTTGGAATCATGGCCCCTTCACTCCTAGCCCTCAGCTATCGTCAGGAGACTCCTACTGTCCCCTTGACTTTCCAGTCACACCCATACCCAGGTCCCTTAAACATGAATCTGTCTTCCTGGAGAGACACCAGGTTGAGTTTCACTCATTCATTCATTCATTCATTCATGAATTATATCTACCAGGCCTTATTCTGGGTGCTGGCATCACTGCCCACAAAAACGTCAGCAGAATGGGAGATATAAACAAATAGATTTACTAATATGAACATAGCAGGACAAGCAAGGACTCCTATGGGGGCCAAGAGCAGTGACTGAAATTCAGACCAACGGTTGGTCAGATAAGACTACCAGAAGGGGAGCTGAAGGATGAATTAGGTAAAGGAGTAAGGTTGAGAGTGGGGATGGAAAGGGAGCCTGGAGGAAAGAGAGAGGATAAAGCATTGGGGAGTTCATGGTGCTTTATGGCAGGAGTGTAAAGTGGAATGTGGCGGGAGGGGAGACGGGAAGGCATCTGAGGATTTGGGACATTGTGAGAAACCTCAGAAGGATTTTGAGCTAAGGGATGACGATATGATCATATTTGGGGATCTTAAAATGACCACTCCGGGGAATGGAGGGAAGGATGGAAGCAACACAGGGGCAGGGAGAGCAGGTGAGGGGCTATTTCAGTAGCACAGGAGAGAGGTGATGGTGGCCCACATGAAGGGGATGATAGCAGAGAAGAGAGAAATGAGAGGATTCAGGTGACATTGGGAGATAAACTCAATAGGACAAGGACTAGGCTTTAAGGAAAGAGTCAAGGATGGTGCCAAATTCTTGTTTAGGCAGTGGGTGAATGACGCATCCATGGTTGAGCTAGAGACCACAGGAGAAGAAGCAAATTTGGGCCAAGTTCATGAGTTTAGTGTGGGAAATGCTGAGTTTGAGGTGTCCATGTAACATCTGGGAGGAGGTGTCCCAAAGACTGCTAAAGGTCAGAGGCTTGTGGAAGGGGCCTGGACCCAAAATAGAGATTAAGAGCTAACCTCTTAGGGAGTAGGAGAGGGAACCATGGGTAGAGATGAGGTTACTCACGGGGAGTGCACAGAGTGAGAAGGCAAGAGAATGTGGGAAATAAAGATAGGTTCTTTCTCCCCTTTAAGGTGACCTATACATTTTCAGGAGGACCTTTGCTTTTAGAGATAATACTTCAGACAGAAGAGTGACCCTCAGAGCATGTATTTTAGGTGCCCTGGAGCCCTGGACACATTGACAAGGGAGGGCCTAGGGAGGAGATGCTCAGATGGAAGATGGGTAGGTGGATGGCTTGGATAATGGATGGAAGGAAGGAAGGGACAAAGGGGAGGGGAGGGGAGGGCAGTAAGAATAGCTCTTGGGCACCAGGTATTCTGATTGCCACCTGATTCCCAAGCCAGTTTAGATTCCTTTTCTCAACATTTTCTTATCAGTATAGCTCTCTTCCTCCCTCCCTCCCTCCCGCCTTCCTTCTTTCCTTCTTTCTTCCCTCCCTTCCTTCCTTCCTCTCTTCCTTCCTTCCCTCCTTCCCTTCCTTCTTTCTTCTTTCCTTCCTTCTTTCCTTCTTTCTCCTTCCATCCTTTCTTCCATTCATCTGTCCATCTTTTTTTCAACTGACACACCACTCTTCCATCCACCCTTCCATCCATCAATCCAACAAATATTTATTGGGCACCTGCGATGTCCTTGGCCTGCCTTCTGCATGGTGATATTTCCACCTAGTCTAAGAGGTACAGACTCAGGGGTTAAACTTTTCCTTTATCTTTCTAACTTGACAAGAGTCAAGGCCATAGAGTAGCTTCGAGGCACCTGAGGTTTTTCCAGCAGCAGGCAACAGGATCAGAAATCTCAGAATGAACGGGGCCATGCGAAGTTGTTTTAATGATAACAACAGAGAAGATTCCCTTGGGCCAGCAATGATGGCAGCATGAATTAAGTGCCAAGGAAGGCTCGAATCACACCTCTTTTCCTCTAATGTTCCTCCTTCAAGATGCCCTAGTTTAATCATGTGAGTGGAATTAAGCCTGAACAGCTCAAAACAGAGTAATTAATTATGTCCTAATTCAGTGACAGTAACTAACCAAGGGACCGGTGCCTGAGGCAGTCACTTGCACAAGAGAGCAGGAGTTTGGGCCCCAATGGCCTCTTGAGTTATCGCTTTCCAGAATCTGGACAAACTCACTTTACCCCTCCTACCATAGGATTTCAGTATGCCTCCCCCATGGTCAGTGGCGCTGTGAAGACCGTGGGCCACTTAGTCTCCACAAGGATGTTAAGGAGATAGGGATCGGAGGTCCTGGCTGCCTCTGCCAAGGGAGCCTGTCTTATTCTTCAGTTTACCAAAGGCCACTTGCTAGCTCAGTGGTTCACACCCTTAGTTGACCTTAGCATCAGCTGGGGAGCTTTTAAGACAACCCAGTGCCAGGGCCCCTGCCCAGGCCAAGTGACCCAGAAAGTCTGGGGACAGGGCTTAGGCAAGTATGTCTGACAGGTGATCCCCATGGGTGGGCAGGTGGGGTGACAGCCATGGGGCTTCCGTGGCTCAGAAGGTGGCTGGACAGGGAGCTTTCTTCCCTGCAACTATCTGCTTTCTAGAAGGTAATGGTCTAAACAAGGTCTTTAGGAGGAAAGCTCCTGCTCTCCCTCAAGCCCCAAATGAGGCTTTCTTCCTGAACCCCAAGGGGAGGTGGGTGCTCCATCAGCAAAGGCCCTGGGGCCTCTTCACTAAGCAGCCCCTTGCCTTGATACAGGCCTCTCTCTGGTGGTGGGCCTCGTGCTCTACATCTCCGGCATCAACGATGAGATGCTCAACAGGACCAAGGACACAGAGACCTATTTCAACTATAAGTACGGGTGGTCCTTCGCCTTCGCTGCCATCTCGTTCCTTTTGACGGAGGTAAACCTCCCCCGACAGGCAGGGGGCCCCGGCCCCACCCTCTCTGCTGCCCTTCTTCCTCCCCAGAACGTGTCACTCTCCCACCTTCCCCAGGCCCGCTTGTCCAGGACATCCCCGCTCTGTCCCAGGGCTTCAGCTGCTCCAGTGGCCGCATCCTGTGCAGACCCCAGCCCCCAGCTGGGGAGCCAGACCAGGGCCCCAGCAGTGAGCGCCCCTCTGCTTTCTCCTCCCTGTAGAGCGCGGGGGTGATGTCCGTGTACCTGTTCATGAAGCGGTACACCGCCGAGGACTTGTACAGGCCCCACCCCGGCTTCTACCGGCCTCGCCTGAGCAACTGCTCGGATTACTCAGGCCAGTTCCTACACCCGGACGCCTGGGTCCGGGGCCGCAGCCCCTCCGACATCTCCAGTGACGCCTCCCTGCAGATGAACAGCAACTACCCAGCGTTGCTCAAGTGCCCCGACTATGACCAGATGTCATCTTCCCCCTGCTGAGCCTCACCACCTTCCTCCCTGGACTGTGGACAGCCAGATAGCCCTTCCCGTGCTCCCCTGATGGCCTGTGAGCCCCAGGCCCTTGGTTGCCAGGCCCAGGCTGTCCTCGCGCTTCGCTGTTGTCACTTGACCCACGTTGTCTCCACAGCTTCCCCCAGAGTAGCTCTAACTGCCCCAGGGTGGGTGTCGGGGAGTCTGGAGCCAGCGGGCAAGCTGATTGGCTGAGAGCATGGGTGTGGCCCCGCCTCTTGAGTGCCAATCACTGGCTGTTCCTGCTGCGTATTTGTCCCTACACACCCAACTTCATGGCCCTAGGCCGAGTTCCTTACACAGACCCAACTGGGGGCCTACCAACTAGCCTGGCCCTCCTGCTCATGATCTGGGCCATCAGGCCAAAAAGGTGACTCTCCTATGGAGGTCTGGCTGGTTCAGCATTGCCAAGCAGTGTTCCTTGTGAAATCCTTTATCCTTGTTGGTTACCCACACCAGTCCCTACAGCACACCTTCCTGGGCTCTCCCCTCCCTCCCCTCTGCCCCATAAGCTGTGAATCTTCCCTCCTCTCTTCCCACCAGGACTCAGCTGCCCGGGCCTTGGTCCCTAAGGGGTCCAGAGTGGGTCTGAGACCACACTGATGAAGTCACAAAGAGGTGTTAATGGCTGATGATGTCTTAATATGTATGGCCCCTATAACATATTCAACAGGGGTCTTTAATGCCTTAACCCAAGAAGTGACTCTCACAAGGAGAATTTCAGATTTTGGCTGGTCCGAGTTAGTATTATCAGGCACTGTTTCAGGCCCGGGGGATACTATCCCTGCTCACATGGGCAGTATTTCCTGTCCAAGGCCCTAAAATCTAACCATGTAGATACACGTCTATGCCACCTAAGTAGAAGGCAGCTTTCAAAGAGGCTGCCTGGGTGTGGAGCTGGATTTGCCAACACTTGGTGCATTTTGAGTCAAAACAAGCCAGCCTTAGAATAATCTGGATGCCCGTGAATATATGGGGGTTGTCATTTAATCCTAATACAGGGCAGTATCTGCTTCCTGGACTGGGGACATATGCAGGCAGCCAGATGCTTCCAGAAGATGAGGCAGGGTGATGCCCATTTTCCTAGTAGCAAACCTGAGCTGGGAGGTACCAAGCACCTTCCATGAAGTCCACAGGATCGGTGGAAGGGCCACTGCTGGACGTGACCCCCCCAGTTCTCCAGGCAAGCTCTCAGTGTATGCATTTCCGGTTATGAGATTGTGAGTAGCAAAACAAGGCCGGGCTCTCCGCTGTGTGTTTCTGCCATGCCAGCTTTTCTCTCTTGTTCTCGCTCTCTAAGATAGCGTTAGGTTCCAGGGTCACAGAGCCACCGCGGGCAACACTTGGGCTCTGGAAAGCTCTACAGAAGACCACACATCCACGTGTACGGACTTGGACGAGACAGTCTCCTAGTTTGCTAGAGCTGCCATAACAAAATGCTCTAACAAGAGACATTTCTTTCCTCACGGTTCCGGAGACCAGAAGTCAGAGATCAAGATGGCCGCCGATTGGCTTTCTTCCAAGGCCTCTCCTTGGCTTGCAGATGGCGTGTCCTCACAGGGTCTTTTCCGTGCTTGTGTGCATGCCCTGGGGTCCACGTTCCCTCTCACCAGGAAACCAGTCAGAGCAGATTAGAGCCCATCCTCAGAGCCTCATTCATCCCTGTTTAAAGGCCCTGTCACATTCTGAGGTTCTGCAGGTGAGGGCCTCAACATAGGACTTTGGGAGGGAGGTGCACGCAGTTCAGCAGGTACAGGTGGGTCACTTCATAGCTGGGTTATTCCACGTGCTTCACAGCACAGTAGAGGGGAAGATGAGAGAAGCCGATTGTGGTCCCAGTTTAGCCATCACCTGAAAGCATGGATCCTTGGGCAACCCCATCTGCTCTGAGGGGCTTGGCCCAAATTATCCCCAAGCCACTCCCTCCCACACACCCGCCCCCAACTCTAGTGATTCAGCCTTGTGTACAAAGCTCCAGGTTGTCATCAAATGTGACTTTTCAATCCTTGCCTCGAAACTGATAGCGACCATAAACCCAACCCAACGTCCCAGGCCATTGGCACCTTAAAACGACTGCCGTACTCTGGTTACTCTTCACAGAATAAAACGGAAACCACGTTCTCCTCCATAGCAAAGGAATCGGTTAGTGTACGTGCAGACTCACTAGGCGGCATTTCCAAACTGGACGGTTGTTTAGATGTGCTTTTCTCCTGTTTTGGTCAATGTAATTACCCTCCCAAAATGCACTTTTCTGTCCCTTAAGCTCCCTTTCTCTGTCACTATGCCAGGCTTGTGTGTGTGTACAAGGAAAAAATAGAACCCACTCCTAAACATGAGCTGATTGTTGACTGTGACATCATTAGGATGAGCCTTTATTGGCCTGGAGGCTGGGCTGCTAAGTCAAGCACCTCGTGCCTTGGGAGGGTGCAGTTTATGCTTAAGTCATTATCTTCCCTCATGAGAGACAGGGGATAGATCAATCGTTGCACAACTGTTACAGTTCCCTTTCCGTCTATCCATTAATCTCAGAACTGGGGGCCTATTTGCAGCCTCTCTCCACAATCAAATGTTTTAATCAAATATTAAAGTGCATAAACTCAGAAAATATAATTAGGGTCCTTTCCCAATGCACTTGATGATCCTTCGTTTCTTCAAGCACTTGAAGAAAACACCTTGAGATTTTTTTTTCTCACCTTCAAAAACTTGGAGAGGGAGGGAGGGTAATAAACTGAAATCTGATAAATACTGGACTAGAAAAGCACTCAGGGTTACCAGTGGTTGGACAAGAATAATTCCGAAACTGCTGGTTCCCTCCCACGTGGAACTCACCAGCCTCCTCCTTACCCCAGGGGGGACTCAATGACACCCCCTGCCCCACCAGATGGCTTTCAAAGGTCTGTTTTCAGGGCTGTGGACTGAGTTGATGGGGGCATTGGGGACAAATCCATAAGAGCCACCAGCTTCTCAGTGATGGGTCAGGGGAGCCCCTCCTTAACATTTGGGTAATTCTCCTTTCTCCCTGAATAAAAGTGGTGTATTAGGGTTCTCCAGAGATATACAATGGGATGTACATAGGGACATTTATTTCAAAGAATTGGCTCCCATGGTGGTGGAGGCTTAGCAAATCCAAAATCAGATGGAGGAGACCAGCAGGCTGCAGACTCAAGGGAAAGTTGCAGTTTGAGTCTGAAGGCCCGCCTGCTGGTGTATTTCCTTCTTGCTCGGGGTAGGTCAGTCTTTGTTCTATTTAGGCCTTCAACCGATTGAACGAGGCTCAGCACGTTATAAAGAGTAATCTGCATTACTCAGAGTCCACTGATTTAAATGTCAATCTCATCCAAAGCACACCTTCACAGAAACTGCCAGAATAATATGTGGGCACCATGGCCCAGCCAAGCTGACACAGTAAATTAAACATCACAAGTGGATGAAGGGCAGAGGAGAGCGGGAGAAATGGCATTCCATCTTAAGAATTGCAGGATAGGTTGGGGGCGTGGGGGGAGTCAGCCCAGCCAGGCCCCGCCGTGCACAGCCAGGCCCCGGGCTCTGCTCCTTTGCAGACTGCCCCTCCAACTGAGCCCATCTTCCTGATGAGTGCATGGAGTTTGTTTGTGCTCTCCCCAGTCTTGACTGGTATCCCACACTCAGGCAGTACATGCTCACATGCGAATACAACCCATGAGAGGTTTATTAACCTCTGGAACACAAACGCTTCACTTGGTGAGTGGATACAGGTAAAAGACTGGATTCCACTGAATGTGCCAGACATGCCAGGACCCACCGTGCACTGCAAGTGTGAGCTCGGCCCTGACAGCAAGGCTCGGTGGCTGCCATGTGCAGAGCAGACACTTTCCACAGGGGTGGAGGGTGGTGAGCCAGAGCTGGGCCATAGCCCCTCAGGACCCAGGATGGACACTGGGGGCCTCGGGCCCTTCCTCTTGGCAGAACTATGGTCTCTGGATTCCCACCTACAACTGCACTGGGATCCTAGACCTCTGCTCTGTGACCTTGGACAGGTCACACTCTCCCAGGACCTGCCTTGGCTTTCTCGTGTGTACTAAAGCTTAATCTCCCCGTCCACTTCTGAGCCAAAGTTTTCTGCCTAGGGAGACTGTCCTTGAGTATTTGTACACAGTGAGCCCCTCTGCTCTGCTGGTCCCAGGGAGGCAGTGGGCCTGAGCTCCCTGCTGGGCACTGCTCCACCTTCTGTGGGTGGTCAGCAGCCTCGGGACCTACTTTTTTCATTCATATAACGAGGGGGTTGGAAAAAATCATCTTCAGGCTCTGTCTCCAGCTCAAAAGATTCTAAGTTTTATAGGCAAAACTCAGCCGAGCTCAAATGATGGACCCCCAGCTTCTGCCCCCTGCCAGGGGCACCCAGATGACACCCAAAGAATGCAGAATTTATATAAGAGAGCAGATGTTTGGGGGCCCCAAAGAAGAACAAGATTGTGTATAATGGAGCGCACATGGCAGGCCCCAGAGTAGCAGGAGGAGGAGGGGACGGAGGTCTCGAAGACAGAACTCAGCTGCCCCCTTCCTTTCTCTCAGCCAGAGGGAGAGAGATTGGATTCTCTCAATCCAACATCTGCTTCCCTGGACAGCACTGTGGCAGGTGAGGCCCTGTTGAGCCAACTCTAGAGGTTCAAGAGAAGGTTCAAGGTCAAGAGGCACCACTTTCATGCAAAAGGAAAGGCAAGAAAGACCATTCCCTGCTGAAAGGTGTCCGAAATGTGACTGTGTCTGTCAGGATATGAAAGTTTCCAGGTGGGAGTTGGGTGAGGGGAGGGAACTGACAGTTGCCTGGAAAAGCTCGTCCTAGAAATGGTGCCAGGAGCTCAGCCGTGGCCTTGATTGGCAGACGAGGTGGTGACTGGTTACCCCAGTGGGCTGAGGGTTCAGGGATAAGACATGTAGCTTCCTTTGCTGAGTCCCAAGCCAGCCTTCCAAGGGCCAGAGGAAGGATCTCAGTCCAGTGGCATATTTCAGGCCTCAGTTTCTCCACCCACAAGATGGACAGCCTCCTCAGCCTCTCTTCCCTGGGAAGGAGTGAGCCTGAGTGAGAACTTAGATGGGAATCCTGGTGGTGCCCAGCGAAGCAGATGTGCTGGCTCGGGGCTGAGCACTGGTTCAGAGTCACCATCTCTATGCCCCTGGCTGAGCTGACTTGCTGTGCCCCCCTCCAATCCCTCATCCTGTGCTTAGCCTAGAAAGGGCTTTCTTCCCACCCCTTTTGCTCTCTCCTCACCAGCAAGAAGCAGTTTTGGGAGCATATCTGATATTCCCCATTGCTCACTGACTTTGGCCTTGAGATCCCCCCTTTTCAAAGTTCGTGGAGATTGGATTCTGGCTTATGCAGCACCAACAAATAGGACATTCCAACAGCAAGTAACAATTTGATTCAAACTGCTCTAAACAATAGAAGTATTTTTTTATTTTCACATCAGGAAGGCCAAGAGTAGGTGTGGGTTCAAGGACTGGCTAATTCAGAGGCTCAATGATGCCATCAAGTACCCAAATTCTTTTCATCTCTTGGTTGTGCTGTCCTTGGAGTTGACTTTATCCTCAGGTTGGTATCAAGATGGTGGCAGCAATCCCAAGGGTCATATCAAGATGCAACAACATCAGAAGGAAGAGAAGGACTATCTCTTCTGTGGCTTTCTTAGGAACAAAGACCCCTAAGTCTCCACCTCTGGGGTCATGTGCCCATTCCTAAACCACCATCTGGCAAGGGGAAGGGGTGACCACATGCTCCAGTCATGACAAATCACCCCAAACCTCAGTAGCTTAATCACAATCACATCATTACTATTTCTGACAGTTGGGGGGTTGAGTGGGCTCAGCAAGATGGTTCTCACTCAGGATCTCCCAGCGGTCAGAGTCTGTGACTATCATCTCCAAGGCTTCTTTGCTCACTTGTCTGGCAATTATGTCCACTTGGGACCTCAGCCAGGGCTGAGTACAGTCTCTTCACAAGGACTGGTCTTCCTCAGAGCAGGATAGCTGGGTGCTAAGAGTGAACATCCCAAGACACAGGTAGTCTTGCCTTTCTTTGAAGTAGCCTCAGATGTCACCTGGTGTCCCTTCCATCATAATCAGCAGACCACCCTGATGTAAGGGCAAGGAACATAGATCTTGCCAATCTGAGATGTGAGGAGTGTCAAAGTCCCATTGTGAACAGAGGGACCTGTTGGGGCAACCATCTTTGGAAAACACAATCTGCTGTACCAGTTGTTCTCCCAGTACAGAGATTCTGATTTTGTTCTGAGCTGGGCACTGTTTCTCTAACAGTTTCCAGGTGATGTCAAGACTGTGCCATGCTCTAGGCTCTCAGGACTGACTTCCAGGCACATGAACTTGTTAAAACTCCCTAGGCAGTTCTAGTGTGAAAGCAGCGTTGATAAGCACTGGGTTGGATCTACCAGGATTTGCCCTTCTCCTGAGTCGGGTTGGGGAGAACTGCTTCCCAAACAAAATATAGGAAAAGAAGGGGAAATGGTCCTGGGTGGGCACCCAAGGATGCTAAGGGCCCAGGCATCCTCCTTGCTCCCTCCCAACCTGCAGAGGCCCTGCCTCTTTAGACAAGGCTGTGCCGTGGGCAAGATGTCAAGTCCGTGGGCTCATGTCCAGCCTCTCTGCCCCTGCGCCCTTTCTTTGTTGAGCTGGTATTCAGTGGGATGCAGGAAGGGCCTGCCCTTGAGAAAGAAGACAGCAGCACTCTGCATTCTGGAGCCAGTGTGCTCTCTGCCCCACTCTCAGGGCCAAAGGATGGACTTCTGGCCCTGAGTAGGCCTGATAGATGCTCAGAAACGGATGGATGCCCTTATGGTCTCAGGGCTCTGACGCTAAGTTTAAACCAATCTTCATCACTGGCCTTTGAATAATTCACTGAGAATTTTGCACTGAGAAATCATAAAAAGGACAAGGCCTGAGGGCTTTGGAGGTTTCTGATCAAGCAATGAAGAGACCATGTATCACAGTCTTCTCAGCAGAGTGGACATGGGTCCATTTTTATATTAAATCTGCCCACACCTGCACATCCACCTCCTACCCCATATCAAATACAATGGAATCCATGTGAAAATACCACAGAGTCTATTTTTTAAAAGACAACAACTATGTATTTAAAATGTAAAGTCCTCCTCAGATGATTTTTCTTAACAAAATGACAAAGAAACTAAACTAAACAAAGCCCACAAGAGGCTCCAGGTGGGTACCACATATTAAATCCAAAGCTGTTCTCGGTGCCCTAAATGATCCAGGCTGGATGGTGTCCCACAGGGTCCCTCACAGGTTTGGGGAAAGTGGATTCACCATCTTGAATTAAGACACAGTTTCTTGTGAATATCGGTCTAAGATACTATGACTTCAGCCAAGGGTCACCAGACATCATCATCAACAGTGAAGCATCTGGAGTGCCTGGCACATCATGGGTGTCTTTGAGAGCATTCATTTAGCCCTCTCGATCCTGTACGTAGAAGAACACCGGGACTTATAGAGGGTTAGGGGCTGGCTCACAACCACACAGATGGTAATATTTGCAATGCTCTGCAAGTCCTCTTTCAAATGGTTGGTGTCTGCAATTCTTAATGCCCAGGATGGCCGAAGCACCCACTTCCATAATCAGAGAAAAGTCCACCTTCCCAAAGATTGATGAGAAGGAAAGGTCTCAATAAGTGGGAAAGAATGGTGAGGTGTCATTCCCCTGAAAGCTCTCTGTTTGTTAATCCCATCTCTACTCATGATGCCCACCTGTGCAGGAAAAACTCAGTGCTTCTTCCTTTACCCTCACACCACTGACGACACCAGATGTGTGTGGGTTTCCCTACACCGGGCAATTTTTCCTCACACCAAGCTGGGTGTCCTACAATTCAGTTCAACTCTAACATTAACCAGAGTTAGCACAGACCCCACCGGTTAAGGGCTTAGTCCCATGAGACTGCCGCCCACTTCCGGTGCCAACCACAAGAAGATCCCCAGGTTACCCGCAGCTTCTGTCCAACTTGGCTACAAATCAGAGGTTCTTATGACTTCCCTCCTTGGATCCAATCACTTGCTAGAGCAGCTCCCAGAAGTCAGGGAAACACATTTACCAGTTTATTATTTAATAAAGGTTATGATAAGGATACAGATGAGCAGCCAGATGAAGAGGTACAGGGGGCGAGGTCTGAAAGTGTCCTGAATGCAGGAGCTTCTATTCCCGTGGAATTGGAGTATGACACCCTCTGGGCATGTGAGTGTGTTCACCAACCCTGATGCTCTCCAAATCTCTTACTTACTTAGAGATTTTTATGTGGTCTTCATCACGTAGGCATGATCAATCATCAGCCCAATTCCCAGCCTCTCTCCCCTTCCTATAGGATGGGGGGGTGAGGCTGAGAGTTCCAGGCTTCTAATCATGCCTTGGTCTTTCTGGTGACCAGCCCTCATCCCGAAACTATAAAGGAGCCCACCCAGAATTGCCTCATGAGCACAAAGGACTCTCTTACCACTGAAATTCCAAGGGATTTAGGAGCTCTGTGCCAAGAAGCAGAGCAGAGACCAACACGTGTATTTTCTATTATTTCACACAACTGATGTTGGAAATGGATGCACAGCTCCAAATTTTGCTGCGTGCTGGCCCCTCACTGCACTCTCCCTGCTTGCCAGCTCCTGGAGGAAGGCTCACAGCGCATGCTTGGTCTGACTCGTGAGAGCATGACCAGGGTCATCTGGCACACCCAACGACCTGATCCACACAGTGCTGGGGAGTCAGGCTCAGATCCTGGGCATGAGCTCTGGGCCTCCGGGTCCCATTTCCCGGGCTGAATCCCAGGATGCTGTGAAGTATATAGCCAGTGTAAGGGCATGGGAGGGGAGACCTCGACAGTCTGAAGCCCACCAGCTGGAGAGGAGGAGGGAATATTTCCATTTGCTCAACAAAATGTTTCCTGAAACACCATATGTGTGAGCTCCTATGCTGCTGGCTGTGTGAGGTGCAAAGAAAAAAGTGTGGCACAAATGAATTTTACCTCAACACACTTAAATGTGACAAATGTCGCCTTATTTTTCTCAATCAAATTAAGTCTGACTTTGATCCACCACTTAACTAGATGGCGAGAAATTCAATGTCCCCAAGGGTTGCCCAGGAATCCAATGGGGAGGCCATGACAGAGGCTATCAGGTGGCTGGAAACCCAAAGCCCAGCCCAGGGTAGGTGCTAGGGTCCTTCCAGAGGCAGGACATCCACACCTGGTGTCCAGTGTCCTCAGAAACACCACTCCACCACCCGTCTTGGGCCATCTGAGGGACTCTGGTCTCAATCACTCTAGGAGCCCACTTATTACACTTCCTAGCTCATTTCCTTCCCAGGATGGGGAACACCCTCAGGATTAGTGTTCTCCCTGACCTCTTCCAAGGACTTCCTTCCAACCTGTCCCCTTGGAAAGATACTCCATATTCTCCCTCAGTGGGTCCTTAGAAACAGTGGTGGATTCTCTTATCTGGACTGGGGGAGAAAAAAAGAGATGAGGAGATGATCAAAGCATTCTTAATAATTTACCCTGTTAGCCTATTAATAACTAAATTAGTGCTAATATGTTATTTCGGCTATTGTTACCATTTATTTAGTAACTACTATATGCCAGCTGCTATCCTAGGCAGTTTATCCTACATGATTTCATTTTATGTATTTATTCCAAACCCTAGAGCAGAGTTGAGTTAATCATACTCTCCGGTTCATGGTGCACGGCCATCACTGGCCCA